AGTGTTAGCAATTTAGTGTTAGCAATGATTATTTAGTGTTAGCAAAGAATTTAGCTAAGAATGATTATCGGATAATAATATTGGAAAATTGATAAAGTAATAAATTGGTGACAACATAGGAGAGTAAAATGATTATTTGATAAAAATGCTGAGAAATTGATGAATTTCTTTAGTGATATTGGTCGGTGATTGCCTCCCAACAATGCGAGCAATTTAGTAAAATGCTAATTTTATGATAATGTCAAGAAGTGATGAATTGATGATAATTGAAAAAAGCATTAATCAATATAAAGTTACTGATTAATATAATAAATAAAAAATTATTTGTTGAAATCTCATGTAAATGCAGAAATATTGCGATTTTAAATTTTCAATTTTTTTTTCAAAAAATTTTTTCATTTCAAAAAGATTTCAGAGTGAAGTACGTATGCTTATTCGAACTGGCATACCCGGCGATTTAAGGCCAAACATTTGGAAATTACTCATTCATCAACAGGTTGCTGATATTAAGAAAAAATTTGGTAAATATTATTTTTGTGATTTATGCAATATGCGTGGATCACTCGATGAAACAGAGGTTTGCTCATTTTTCGTAGTCTTTTTTCATATTTTTTATTTGAACTTTTATTCAAATCTCATTTCATTTTTGAAATGTACTTTAATACTTTTTTTTTTGCTTTGGCTTGAATATTTTTAAGAAATTACATTAATTTCTTCAAATTCTTATAAAAATCTCAATTTTTTTGCCTGTATATTACTGCAATTACGCTTAAAACAAATTTATTTTTCATTCAAAATTAACAATTTATTTCTCAAATTGAATTCCAGTACAGAGATAGTCATCAAAAACAAATAACGTTGGATTTATTGCGTACATTACCTGGCAATATACATTTCATGTCACCAACTTGTAAAGGAGTTCGTTTTACATTGAAAAAATTTCATTAAAATTTTTTTCTCGAATACGATAAAAAAAGTTAAATTTTTTGGCGATTTTTTCCGTTAGTATGGTAAATAAATAAAATAGGAAATTATTTTATTGCATTTTCTGGCAATTATTTGTTTTAGCTAAAATAGAATATTAAATGTTAGCATAGAATTTAAATGACATCCAAATGGTTTCATTTTCTTCTTAACATGCCAGCAAAAATCGTTTTACAGACTTTTCATACTGTAAAAATTTTAGATTAAATTTCATGTGACTTCTAAATATCAATGAAATTTTGACAATTTTTAGATTCAACAATTAGAGCAAGTACTCCGTGCTTTCTGTTTTCATAATCCGGTAATCGGTTACTGTCAGGGAATGAATTTCATTGCTGGAACAGCGATGCTTTTCCTTGGTGTCGAAGATACATTTTGGTTTTTGGTTGCGGTTACTGAAAAATACTTCCATAAGTCATATTTTGATTATGCATTAACCGGAGCACAAGCTGATCAGGTATCCTTTCCTTCATTGCTATGGTATTTTATATACTTAAAAAAATGGAATTGAATTTGAAAATGTCAAATTTATCAAACAACATCCTTTTTGATTTTGTAACATGAGAAATTCTGAAAATCGATTAAGGCAGTTGAATAAATTTTAAAAGTGAGTATTATTGTTGAAAAGATTTCAAAATTTTTTAGTGGATGAATATTACAGGAAGTACTGAAAGAATTGGTTGCAAGAAGATTACCTCGATTAGCTGCTCATTTGGATCAATGTGGTATCGATTTAGCTACGGTAACGCTGAATTGGTTTTTGGCAATATTTTATGATGCTGTACCTTTTCAGGTATTCTATTGCTTGTAAAAATTTCAAAAAAAACCATTCTTCAAATAAAATCAATAAAATTATTTATACATAGGAGAATTTATTTCTCTTTTATAAATAACAAAAATCTTTCTTTGTTTTTTGTTTACTGTTCTCTTTTTTTTTTTTTTACTACAAATTACATTTGGAAGATTTCTTCTTTTTAAAGAATACCGTAAGATGAAATAGTATGTGTATTAGTGTAGTTTGTGAAAAAGACAAGAAAAAATTAATAATTTAATTTTCTAAACGTGTGTGTAAAAATTTTTAATGGTTAGGGGTGGTAAATTTTAACAAAATGATACGATCATTTCCCGAAACAAGATTAATTATAAATTAATTCATATGCAAATTTATTATCCTCTTTAACAACTACTATACCAAATCAATCCTGGAATTGTTACAGTTAACAAACTATGAAAATATTACATGCATTAGAGAGATTTTCAGTTTTGAAAATTATTCATTTGCATATCAAAATTAAGCAACCAACTGACACACACACACACACACACACACACACACACA